TTTTATTTTCCTGACGTTTCGGATTCCGTCGGGAACGACCACTGGAACAAGAGTTTTATTTTCCTGACGTTTCGGATTCCGTCGGGAATCCGTTTACTCATAGGTGATTGTAACATTATCAGGCCGGCATCCGACGCTGACAAGGTAATTGTGGCAATAAGTGAGTCGAACACGAGGTGTCAAGCCAGTAACACCAATTAAGACCCAAGCGGTGCCTACAGAAGCGAATAATTATCACACGCACGCGGATGACCACTATGAACTATGAATACCATGCAGCCGGTGCATGTGCCGACCCTATCTGCGCATGACTATGGCTATGCTACCATCACCTATGATTAAGGATTCCCGACGAAATCCAAAACGTCAGGAAAATAAAACTCTTTTTCCGGTGATTGCATCTTCTTCTTCTTCTCAAACTTGGAATTGTGGCATGAGAAGTTGAAACTGCATCTTAATATATAGGGTATGCTTACATGTATACGCTTTGCGCTTTGTGTAGGGACCTCTTAAAACTAAACGTTAATGTATCACTTTTCATCACTGCAAAGATTGTGTCTGCTGCGCGAAGCACTTAGTGATACAAGTTCAAGAACCCTACACCGTAAGAGCAGACTGCACTTTTTAAAAAGAAGTTGCATCCGTCTGAGATGAAAGAAAACCCTACTATTAATGCAATTATTCTGCGAAAAATTAAAAGAGGCTGGATTCCGATACACTGGTGCTGTAGGAAAATGATTTTCAGTTTGTCCAATAATTGCGGTTTCATTGATTATAAATTAACAAATATAAATAACCGTAAGTGATAAAACAATGGAAGCAACAATCCGGATGTATTCGAAAATTGCTAAGCGATCCAGCTGCCATTTCTAGAGTACTCATTATCGCTCTCAAATACTCTTGTCCCTTGCAAATGCACAATACACAGTTCACTAAAACCGGAGACTTTCAAAAAGGAAATATTTTCTTTAAGCAGTACGATTTAGACTGTTCGACAGGGATACGTCTTCTGCTTCACACCGATTGAAATTCAGTCAGATTTGGTTAATTAATATTTCCTACTTAACCCGTAATTTGTGTGTAAGGTGTCTTCCATAAGATAGTACATGCAGTATTCTGAAGCATCCTGGATGCAAGCTGCAACGAATTCTTGATAATACAAGCCGTCGTTAACGTTTCAATCTAATGTGTTATGTGTTTGCAATTACAAAAGATCTTTGGTTTTTATTCTAAAAAGAGCATCTGAAGTGCATCCTTAGTGAAGTATAGGCTACTATTTTAAGGAGTCTCTCGTATGCCGCGGACGGTATTCGCTCCAACTAACAGACGGCAATAATTAATCTATGGTGTTGCATGAACAGCCTAAAACATCCTTGTATCGAGGTATAAAGAACATTTAAAGCATAAATGTAGACACCAAAGTATCCAATTCATTAAACAAAAAATATTGAAAGGGTTTAACCTGGATCCCGGTGTAATTTAGGCAATCCAAGATACCTCCGTTATGCTTTGCATGTATTTTAAGAATATCCATGTTTGACTAAATAGTATAAAACCTAAAGTTAACTTGCAGGGAATGGAGTCAGCATTTAAAATGTACCTGCTAGACTCCAATCGGCCAAATGTCAAAGTTTGTTTCTCTCTGTGCAATGGGTTCCTTCTAAACATCACTGTAGTGAACTATACATAACCATCTACTTACTTAGTTTTAGTTTAGTAGTTCGTTTTAGTAACTTCAGTTAGTTTTTTTGTTAGACTAGTTTTAGTTTAAGTTGCTTTCAGTTTTATTGTAGCTACGTTTCTTGTTTATTAATAAGTTTTATTAATTTAAGTGTAGTTTCTAGTTACGTATTGCACAAACCTTTTTGTCCCTGTGAAGATGTTTATAAGAAACCTTTACCTTAGCTGTCTTTAAAATATTCCGCAAGGTCTTCCATATTTAAGCACAACCGGAACCTAGTAGATATACACTGTTCCTTGAAAATGGCGTAGCATCGACGCCGAGCTCACTGATTTCCCCGGAGTGCTGTTTCCGTTCTTCTACATTGTCTAGTGTACTCCGGAAATCTGCAATAAGTGGAACTGCATCTATGCTACTGCAAAGGCTTCAGCGATGCAAGTAACAACTTATGATGTTGCCGACCCGTGAAAGTGATATAGTTGAGCAACGCAAATACCAGTTTTATTGTTGTCTGCGAGAAACTTCTACGCGGATGCCATAGCGATCGCATTAAGTACGTCGTTGCAAGAAGCTAACGCTGGGTCTTCGCTCGGGCTCCGAGGCACTTTTATTAGGCAGGCAGGGCGTGGAAGGGCGGAGAGAGCAGGGGGGGCTGGCGGGCACAGTCCGAAATGGCCAACGAGAGTGTGCTCATTTGGGACTGACTATGCAAATAATGAGCACAGATATGAACAAAAAGATTCTTAGTCTCCGGAGTACGATACAGCAGCCAGCTGGTAGCCGTTGTACTACTGCAGTACATTTATCAGAAGTAGACGAAAAGGCACGGTTTTATTCTTGCAAACTACAGCATAGGGTTGTTAATTCTTTAGGAATGGAAACTTACTCATTGTACTGAGGATCAGGCGGAGGAACTTCATCACTATGTCAGATAACGTTTGGTAAAACATGCAAATAATAACCCCAGGTAATACCTGTGTATATTCCGGCGTCCAACTTTTGCCGCTAAACATGCATGGAACCTTAACTCTAGCCGCAAACGTGAACGCCGACCTAAATTTAACCCCTACGCGTTTAACCTAACCCGGACTTAACCCTGATTCTAGCAATTACCCGAATTGTAAAGGTAACTTAAAATACACTTGTAAACCATTCTTAAGCTGCATGAATTTTACCGAAAACCCAACTGTACTATGGGGTTTTCCTTTTTCCTTGTTAGACTGCACGGTTTTACTGTTACAAGACACATGTAGTTTACATGGAATTAACCATTTTTAGTACATATGCTTATATATGAGTAGCGAAAATAATTTGCATTGAAACAGAGGTAGGTTTTGTGTGTGACGCGCTTGACAATTTTACCGTGCGTAAAAGGCGGCGGCTTGGAAGATGGCCATCTGATGTTATAACTCCGACCGCGTGGTCAGTCGAGTGTGTGTTATATATGTGTTGATAGGCTGACTAGGGACTGAAGTCCAGGGTGCAATGACGCCTTTATGGCACTTCCACGAAGCTGGAATCTGTGTTGCCCCAACCTTTTGTGATTTTTCTGGTTGTGGTGGGCCATAAGGACCACCCCTCTTCGCCGGTCCTCTTTACTTTGTCTAGACAACGAGTTTGGGTGAGGAAGTGGGACCGAGAGTGAGTTGGATGTCTTATCAAAAGTCTTATCTCAATAGAATCCAGTGCATGTCGCCGTGTCTGAACCATGCCTGTTGTGAAGCACACGGTGGACCTTATCAAAAACCGATGATCAAACTTTCGTCGTGTTTTTGTGTGCAATAAAAACCCATAGTAACCTTAATCGTACTTATAAGCTTAACCCAATCCCTAAGTTAACTCTTAACCTCACATTAAGTTTAACATAAACTCTAATCACCTGGAATTTAGTTGAAAACTACCTATATAAGCGCAGTTGCTTACTGCACACGGTCTTGCCTTGCGCATTTGACAATTAATAAGTGGTTTGCAATGAGCAGGCTTAACTATATGTACACTAGCAAAAACGGAGGTTTTCGATACTATCTCCTTGGAGATGTGTAAGAAGAAACCCCTAGGATGTCATAGTCAGATGGTAATGAGTGGCACAAGGTTAGTTTAGACTAAAGTTGATTATTCATATTATTATAAGCTTAAACACATGAAAATCTCTGGATTAGGCGCGTGCTCGAATGCTGTGGATTTTATATATTTAAAGGTAATTGCGACGAAATCCTCCCAACACAGCAAGCCTTTTGCAGGCAGTAGTAGGTGGTTGAGGAAGGTTTAAGCTTTTGCCGCCCATTCAAATTATTATGCTAGTAAAGTAATCTACATGCGACTTTTCTCCACACAGATTTTGTTTCATATGTTGCACACAGAAATGCTATAACGTTCTCAATGGAACGGCGTTGCTCATCCATGAATTAAAAAAACGAATTGAGGCTTACGATTTGAACTGCTAACGAAGAGTCTGACGGTGTAAAATTCAAAAACAATCTTAAAGTCTACAATGCGTCATTTTATTCCCCTTCCCAGTAAACAGCACTCGAAGTTCGTTTAAAATGTTATCTACAGGTAACGACTATTACGTCAAATAAGGGTATGTTCGATTTTCATAGTGTGTAGTGAATAGGAGGTTCTGATAAAAAAATTGAATACTATTTTCCCTATTAATGTGAACGCTATCAAAAGTTCACGCTTTGGAACTCACTCCCAATATTAGCTGTGATATGTTTATCCTCCCCTGCCGCGAACATCTGTCTAGCGGCCTGCCCCCGACCAAAGGCTCTGGTGCAACAAACCCATTCCTCCCTTTTCATTTTGTCTGACAACGGATAAGTGTGGCCTGCTTGAAAATTCACAAGTACAATTCGATTTCGTTTGCAGACTTTCTTACTTTCCATCATATTTCTTTATGTAAGATTTTTTTTAAAACACTCAGGTGATTTTTAGGAATTCGTATAACTCTCTGCCGCATACTATCTTCAATTTCGGCATGCTCACTCAATCTTTCGCTACTGACCGACAGGACAACAGTCCATAGCTCAACGGTTACAGTATGATACTTCTAATGAACATTTGGTGGGCTCGAGGCTCAGGTTGCGCTAAACCTGGAGTTGCGTATGGCTGGCTAATGACGTCCAATAATTCAGGAACGGTGCTTCCAGTACTCCGGTAATTGGTCGGTAAGGTTCTCCTCCCTACTGTCAGGACTGATGTTTGGTGCTGCGTTTCTCAATTAAGTCAAACGAATGGACCAAGCCCACATATTACTTTGCATGGTTGCCTACCTGCATCACAAATGATCGTGCCTTTTGGCTCATTTAGAAGTAGAGCGCTAGGCAAAATTGGCAGACAGAGGCAAATAATCAGTGTGGCAAAGTTTGTTCGTCAGTGGTTGTGTGTGGGGGCCGACGATAGCCAGTAATTGGGACGTTCCGCACATTTGAACAGCGTTGCTGCACTTTTTGTTAACATTCCAACGGCGTAATGCACGGCTGTTATTCTTTTTCCGAAAACCAATGTAACTAACTTTCACAGTTTTGTGAACGTAGACTTCTGTGCTAATATAGCCAAAAAATCGAAGACCTGTGCCGGCCTGCTGGCTGGCTGGCACACGCAGAATAAAACGCAATTCGTTAACCCCTAAGATTTCATCTACTAAATGTAAATTCCCTGCTAATACTCGACTACTGCTGGGATGAACTTGGTCGCATACGGGTTACTTATAATCAGGTCATGTAGGAGCCACTGCATGGTTTTAAAGTTGTTTGAAACAATCTTAGCGGACTGTAGACTTACCGTCAAGGTCAAAATGACTCCAAATATCAGAAAACTGTTCTGCTGTGAGATGGCGAAACTTGCATCTGTCCTCGTCGAAGTACGGTTTCAGGAGATTTTCCCTGGACGGCGCGCTACTCTCCTTTATCAGCGCCTCACCTGGATTCATGCTTAAACGACGACAGGACATCGCGTAGGGGCATGCTTTAAAAAAATAAACAATCCCTCGTTTTAACTGCTCCCGCTTACCAATCACAAAGCCTGGTCGTTGATTGGGCGCGCTCTCCCACGTTATCACATTCACGCAAAGCTCTCTTCTGACAGCCACACTGGCGGACATCCCGGAAGATTAGATCTCAGCTTCAACACTTGACCAAACACATCACTTTTCTGGTAGGCTGATATTTTGTGGCAATCGCTGTCAAACATAATTTTTCAAAATTCTAAAACATGATGTCCTGCGAAGTGCTTTGGAACAAAGTTAAACTTGCGAAAAAAATGTGCTGCCTAAAGTTAGTCAATACACCTGCTAACATCACCAGATTCTATGTTATTTTTCTCAGAAACAGTTATTTTACAAAGTAAGGGCACAATATTTCCAGGTGGACCTCGAAATTTAATGAAACAAATCATCCTCAGAATTATTTAAGAGCACACAAATGTATTCGGCATTTTGTATGAAAAAGTTCGGGCATTCATTATCTTGAATTATTCAAAGATTATGAAGGGACTTACCCTTGCCATTTCAAACGTTAATATAATAACGGCTTAAATGCATATATGGTTCCATAATAGTTCATTTTTTGAGAGAACCATAGATCCAAAATGTCGAATCTCTTGACTTAAGAACGCAGAACTGGTGTTGATACTGGACACAGACACAATGTCCCAATCGCAATGTAAGAATTGTTCGACAAAATTTATACTCCCGGGATGGGACCCTTACAGAGATTGGTCGACAGCTACATGTTTTGCACCGGCATCACAACAATCTCCCATCTTCAGTGTTCGTTGCATTATCCTGGGTAAAAAGTCCCATTCCTAAAGTGCAGCAAACAGGCGTCACTTATCGGATCTTATGCGCTAATTGCTCCTGGGTGTATATTGGCCATACACATAGACGTTCGGACACTCGTAGTAAGAAAAACCAATAGACAATCCTTGTCATAACTGCTTGTCTCTTCCTGCGTGTGCACGCACATTATATGAGTGGCCAACTATGCATTTGGGGGGTTACTGACAACGTCCTCGTCATTACCAACAAAAAGCAGCCACAAGCATTTCTCGAGGTTTGTTACTGCGATAAATGCAGCATCAGACAAAAAAGTCAACCTCGCATCCATCATCGGAAATTGACGACTGGTTAGAGCCTCACTGGTCAGTTTCCTGTCTTCCGGAGTTAGCGAACCGAACGCTTCCTGAACAACCCTAAACAGTGTAGCTCACTTTCGTCCTTATTCCTTTTGAAAATATTCCTATGTTCGATTTGAAAAGTCGATTTGGCATTCATATGTTTTCAGCAACCCTTCATCAGGCCAGCACATTTGCAGGGATTATGAAAATTCTACAGTTGGACAGGGTTAATAATTGTACTTTGATTACAATTCATCGTTTACATGCAAAACGCATGGCGAGATCGGCGAGGGGGAAGCGCGGGAAATTGCCTTAGGTTGTGAGCATTGGTCAGAGGTCAGGGTCATGGAGTGATAATTACTGCCATTTGCACGGAGCGAGCAACTGTCACTAAGGTATGGGGGCGATGTGCAATCTTCATTATTCATTTTTTCTGACGATCCGTTAGTATAACCAAATAGAAAGCTCACGAGTATAACCCAAGTACCTTTGCAGAACGAAATAAGCATGCCATGACATCGATCGGGTAATGCACTGGCAAAATAGGGCAAAAATCTAATGATTGCAAGACAACCGTTAGATTTTGGTAGGCAGGTTACGCGTTAGTCTGTGTCCGATGGTCGGTAATGTCTGGGATATTACTGTGTTTGGGATTTGTTTTTATGGCTAATGAAGGGGTTAGGAATAGATGTACGAGTAGGAGATGGTGGTGGCGAAAATGATTAAGGATTAAACCTAGGGTCAAGACAGGGCTAGGGAATAAATGCTTATAGCTTACAGCTAACAGCTAGAGTTAAGGATCAGGGATTATGGTTAGGATTTTAGCTTAGGAGTGGAATTTAGACGTCGGAGTACGGCTCGGGGTTAGGGCTTCGTACTCACTTGTTGAAGATAAGCAGCCTAAGAGCGTGTGTTTGCAGTAACGTCATCGTCTTACACATCTTTGGAGTATTTAAACTTAATTATCGGTTATATTACTGTTTTTACTACTATATCCACGTGTACTTGGTCCACAGACAAGTTTCCCCTGTACACTTAATCCCTCCTTATCAAGTGTCGCGTATTACAAGTGTCATTGGTTTGGGTTGTTATATTCTTTTTACTTGATCATCATCTCTTAATATTCACTGGCACAGCTGACAAGAATATAAACCGGGGACAGAATGGGTTGGGCGTTGAACTGCTCGGTGTTCAATAATCGAAATGAACGCGTATATGAACCTCAGGTGCTGCAAACCTCGGAGCTGTCATGGCTGGCCGATGACGGCTAATAAGCCACAAAAGGCCATTCCAGTCACTCATATCTTTTTCGGTTATGTTCTTCTGCCTATAGTACTAGCCCCTGTGCGGCTATTGGCGGGGCTCAGAAGTGCGCTGTGGGTGTGTAGTGACTAGCTCAACACGAAGTGCACTTTTGAACGCTTGTCGTGACTAGCTCAAGTTGAAATGTACTTTCGGAAGGCTTGCTGCTTCCGGCCTCTGTAACAACCAATAACAGACCAACTCGCACAGGCCCTCATATGACGAGTGCCGAGCAGACCTCACTTCAGACGCCGTCGGCTGGCTTGCGTTTGTGCGGACGCCTGCCAGTCAATTTCTTACTGCCTATTCTCCCATCTATTCTGTACATAATACATACTCTTCCTAATAATCTGGCTTTTCCAAGACTTCCCTCCTTTCCTAAGGAACCGGACCTGGAAGATCGCAGCCATTAGAGTTAAACTCTACTAGCCTTAAACACCCCCTGGTAAGTGTGTTATTGCATTTCGTATCAAATCGGTGAGCGATAATTGGTAATATTCCTGATTAAAAAAGACTTGTCAACAAGCTCGTGACACGTTTGAATTCTATCCAAACGATTGTCAGTTTGCTCCGCGGGATTTTGAGTACCTCTTGCCTTACAACGGATAATAAGCCGAAAATGGCCATCCGAGTAACCCTGGTTTTTATCATCAACTTTCTTTCTTCGACGACAATTAACCGCCCACTGGAGAATTCCATTTGGGCGTTCCTGGCGAGTTGATGGTTTAAGTTAAAATGCATTTCGTGAATTTGCATTTGCCTAATTTCCGTTTTGGCCCTTCAACCGCGCATCCGGTAAATGCGATGGGCCAGCACAGTCTAGATGAGGGTATGGCATTCGGGTTGCGTGCCTGCAAAAAGGCACACGTATGGGAGATGTGGGGTGGCACGCCCAGGTGGGTACCAAAAACTTCTGTCCAAATTTGTACCAGAATGCCGACAGACTTGGACAGTGTACTGGCCTCTGGGAGAGGAAAATGAAAGTGAGACAAACTTTGTGCGCCATCCCATAGGCATTTGATACATATGAGAGAGATTTATATACGCTTTATCTTGAAAACATAATTCTACAATTTTCAGCATAACGTCCTCCATTCACAGGGAATTAAATAAGGCGCACAAACTCAACTTCGGAAACCAAAAGCAATCTATAATCGTCAATTGTTGACATGTTGGAAAATTCATAAAACATGGGTCAAATTGAACAACATTCAAAGAGGCGCCAGCGTCGTACACTGATGACCCCATTGTAGTTCAAGTCAACAAAGAGGGCTAAAATCGGTTTACAATGGGCGAAGTAGACCAATCAACGTACATATTGAAAAAATTACATGCGAATGAAGGGAGGAAAAATGGCGGCTCAATTTGAAAAGGCCGCAGGATGCACATTTGCATGGGAGCAAACCCAAACTGTTGGCACCTGCCCAACTAGGAAGGGCATGCAATAACGGATATATTTATTGAGGCGTCCATTACAAAACTCTCAATATCAGATGGAAGCATAAACAGCCGCCACAGATTGCATTATAAAACGTGAGTGACTGCAATGCGGGTGACAATTATCAACTTACACACTGAAGCAGCATAGAATCATGTGTACGTCATCTTTTATAGTTGCCTGTTTTGAGGCAAGTGTTTTTTCGTACATTTTAAATCTGTCTAACGACGAGCTGGCGAACCAGGTTCAAAAATTCACACAATAAACGCAACTTTTTCTCAAAGGACTTTATCGTTAATAAAATATTTAAAACTATAAAAGTCGAACGTGCTCTCACATCAGATTGCTGGCTTTATAAGCTACCCAATAGTGGATAAATCGGGCCTGTCTCAAGAGACAGAATGAGGCTGTAACGTAACCTTCTGGATGGGACATCAAGGGCACCCTTCCCAGCTAGGAACCCAGTTGTCGCCGTGTTTGTCCTAAAAGGTCATTCCTGGAGTTCGCATGTGTGGCACCTATGGGCATTGTTTTTTGTTTTGTCAGTCTTTGTTCTCTATAGAAGTGAATATGTAAGTTCAGAAGAAGAAGAAGTGACCACTGGAACAAGAGTTTTATTGTGCTGACGTTTCGGATTCTGGCGAAAAAACCTTAATCAAAGTTAATCGTAAAAAGGTCTGATACATGCACAGATTGCACAGTATTTATACTTCGTGGCGGTCATCCGCATGCATACTATAATCGTCAGTTCCTGTAGCCACCGCTTGAGGTCTTAATTGGTGCAGTGATGGCTCATTAATTGCCACAATGTTCTTGTCCACGTCGGATGCGGGTTTGATAATTGCGCGACAATTGTGCCCGCTGTCGTCAGCGTTGTTGTTGCGCTCGGCCCTTCCCACGTGACTGATTCTCTTGCTCAGAAAATTTCTCAGTACCCCGTATGGGAATACCAAATCGTTGCGCTTGTTGATGGACTAGGGGCCTGAGAACCATGACACGAGCAGCTCGCGGCTCACGCGGTTGTCATCTCTTGCGAGGATTTCTGCCTCGCAAGAGTTGCAGACGGTGAACATGGTCGTTTGAAACGCTTCCACGTACTTCATGTGTTAGG